GGAATGAAGAAGATAGTGACTTCTGTGATGTGAATGTAGGTCTTGATCCTGATTTCAGTTATAGCTAGTGTTAATGTAGTGTCTTAAAAGTCATTCTGTAGTGTCTTAAAAGTCATTCTGTAGTAGTGACTTAAAAGTCATTCTGTAGTGTGACTTAAAAGTCATTCTGTAGTGTCTTAAAAGTCATTCTGTAGTGTCTTAAAAGTCATTCTGTAGTGTCTTAAAAGTCATTCTGTAGTAGTGACTTAAAAGTCATTCTGTAGTGTCTTGAAAGTCATTCTGTAGTAGTGACTTAAAAGTCATTCTGTAGTGTCTTAAAAGTCATTCTTTACTTATGTAGTGTCTTAAAAGTCATTCTGTAGTAGGGTCTTAAAAGTCATTCTTTACTTATGGTTACTTGCACAGAAAGCATACTTTCATAATCTTTTCCGTGTGACATATATATGACAGATTAAACAGGAGTTTATCAAGTTTTCAATTGTTTTTCAGATTTTAATTATAGGAAAATTTTAAATGAATTTAGAGTTATAATTTGTATAAATTCAGCACTAATTAGTAGGATAACCCCTTAAGTAATACAGGTACTGTATTTCCAATTAAACTGTCATTTCTTACAGATTTGATTTTTTTTTAAGAAAGTAAAGCTAATTCTTTCTTTGACGATATATGTCAAAATTAGCAACATAAGCATTATGTGTAGACCAAGCAACAATTGACAGTTTTTGTCAGAGTATTGAGACAATGATAACGCCCGCTGCACAAAGTTTATATCTGTCCATATAATGAACATTATGAATGTCTGGAGGTCATTGAGCTTGATGGCTAACATGTAATAGTTATGTTTCCTTTTAAATGCTGGACATAATTCATGACTCATGAGGAGTGACAGGTCAAGGGACATAACTCCAATTGACCTGTATGGTCATAGAAACCCATTGACGTTATAGGCATGTATGTAGATAGATACTGGTGTCTTGTGTGAAATCCCTTTAGGTAAATACCGGATTAGAGAAAAACCAATGCTACCATTACTGCCTGTGTCCAGAGTTAAACAGGTTTGTGTGTGTTCTATACCAAGGAAATCCTTTCAGGTGTTAAGCCACTGTAAATGTTTCAGGTGTTATACAGGGAAAACCCTACAGGTGTGTCAGTTTAGAGAAAGGTATAAATATTCCAATTAGTTACCTGTAACATCTGATGGTTTTATACAGTGTGTTAGGTGAGTGATGTAACTATGATACATTTGTCATCTCATATAGGTGTGAACCGTAGACAATCTCTCTTCTTATATTACCTGAGCTTCATTGAACTGTCCGAGTGTGGATGTGTTAGAAACTTCACAATTTTATCTGTCATACAAACGGATTGAGGGAATTACAGAAGCTAAAAATAGATTAATACCTTTAAAAGACGCAAAGGGTGGTGAAAAGAGTGACAAAAGTGTAAACTTTGGGTGAAGTATGTTTATTTATATAAAATAGGAGACCGGGATTTACCGTTGGTATTAGCTTTACGTTAAACTGTGGACACATACTTGGTACAAGAAGACTATTTGTGATCGTTAGAGCTATACAGATGTGTCTTAGATATTTCAGGTGTATTTAGGAATCGGATGAAACAGTTAATGGTAAGTGTATTTATATCTCTTTGTATCATATCTATTTATTATCTTGTGGTAGAGTATACTGTACTCTTCATATGGAGGAGTTGGGATAGTTTAGTCGGGTGGATGGTTGGCTGACGTAACCTCACGTAAAGATCTGAGGTGAGTGGTTCAATGCCCTCTACCAATGGTGGTTTGTATTTCTGAGGAAGCTGAGAAGTGTACTAGTCTGTGCTGATGTGGTTGTGTCCTTTGGTGAGAAATAAACTTTAATTGCTCTGGATGGCTTAATTGTTTGGGGACTTGCCTCCCATATGTTGTTCAGTGAGGTCGTTTGACCATATACTACGTAGTGATCCTGTCACAAAATGACCTTCACTGTTCTCAGGGTAATTATAAACACACATCAAACTACCAAACAAACTGACCATTGATATGGTATTCCTAATAGTGGTACATTAATTATTCTGTGATATTCATATGGTATTTACGTACAGTCCTATTTAGTGTAACATTTGGGATATTCATGTGATACATACAGTCCGGTATGGTATATTATTCTTTGATGTTAATGTGGTATTCCGATGTAATCCTGTATGATTTGTTATTTTGTGATATTCATGTGGTACTCGTATACAGTCCTACATATAGTTTACCATTTTATTCATCAATGGTTTTCACATATGTATTCCTATATTTAATGATACACAGTGATATTAATTTGATGTACATCTGATGTTTGTTATGAATTGGCAATTATGGTTGATGTTAAATTTTCACAACAAACATCAGATTTATTTCTGTAAGATTGACTTTATTCTAGAAGTAGTTAATATCATTTGTGTAAAAGTAAATATCAAAATTGATAATGATTGTGAGGTGACAGGGGGGCAGGAAAAATGGTACAGAACTGCTTTCTTTCTCAACTCAATAAATTAGTCATTTGGATAGTGAGGTCATCCTCCCACCCAGAATGTAAGTTTTGAGTTAGGGTATTTCTAAAAAGCCAGCGTTGACAAAACAAAATGTCTACTAATATTATGTCTGATGTTGCCATTAGACGAGGAAGACTAGTCATCACTAAATACATATTTCAAAATATTCTGATAAAAGTTGTTACAATCAGCATGTGTTGTGTTCCTTTACTGTGTGATTTCCCTTTAATGGTATTGAAATAACAAAGTCTTGCATTCAGATTTAATTTTTACAAGAAACACTATGTTAATGCGACCATGTTGTCAAATTTTGACAATATCGTGATGCAGATTTTTCTCACAATTACGTTTCTATAAATCAGTGACCTCAGAAGGATTCTGATCCAGCCAATGACATGAAAGGAAATAACTAATACACATGTGATGTTTTTAGAATCAAAGAACATCACAACCTTGCTACAGTAAAAAAGATTTTCTTCTGAAGTTGAGCTCTGTCAATAATTTTCAGTATTGTTAGCCTGGAACAAATGCATGCATTGAAATTCAACTTTGTGTACAAATTGGTACATGACATTATTGAAGATTGAGGCTATGATTTATTGGACGTACGGTAAGAACCCTGACAAATCTTAAGGTTTTACTTCTGTACATTACTCAATATTTCCTGATCCACTGCACACAAAAAATATTGGTAGGAGTGTGTACATTAATTCTGTCTGCACATTTTACATGCATTTGACATGTGTACATTGTCATTTACATAGGAAACCTATTAGTACTGACATGACAGTATGTAGATGATATATAATTCGACTCAGGTGAGAAGTCTAGAAAATGACAGGTACGCCCAGAAATCTCTTCTATATGTGCAAAACTCTTGACATAATGATGAGCAAGTTTAAACAAGGTTGTTGAGTACTCTGGAAAACGAGTTTTAATTTAGTCTGGAATTATGATGTATATGTCTGAGAGTGATGACAGCCATTTTTTTTGTACTTTGTCAGAATTAAATCTGTTTTAAGTGTCTATTTACATATTGTCTTATTTGTCAGACGGTATTCCATACCTGGTAGTAAGCCCACTTATGTCGCTTTCTGTCAAGTGAAAGAAAATAACAAAACACCTTTTTTTATTGTTCTGCAATCAAGACAACAGTCCAGTATATCAAACTGCAATAAGCCCAGCCACTTCTTTGAATCAAATTTGATGTGTAAACACCCTGGACTTATTGTTACAGGAAATTTATAGCAGGGTTTTAAGTCTGTGAAAATTTGACTCTGCTCTCTACTCCCAAGGCTGTTTTTATAGTGAGGAATCAGGGCAATGCTCCAATATATCCCATAATAAGCCCACCCACTTCTTTGAGCCAAAGTTGACGTGTAAACACCCTGGACTTATTGTTACAGGAAATTTATAGCAGGGTTTTAAGTCTGTGAAAATTTGACTCTGCTCTCTACTCCCAAGGCTGTTTTTATAGTGAGGAATCAGGGCAATGCTCCAATATATCCCATAATAAGCCCACCCACTTCTTTGAGTCAAAGTTGACGTGTAAACACCCTGGACTTATTGTTGCAGGATATTTATAGCAGGTTTTTTTTATGTCAGTGAAAATTGCAAGACATACTTCTCTGAAGGCTGTTGTAATAGTGAGGAATCGGGACTCATCATTGCAGGATAGATATAGTAGTGTTTTAAGTCAGTGAAAATTGGCAGACTTCTAGGTTTTTTTTATAGTGACTGTCCAATTCTTCTTGCAATAAGTCAAATTATTCTTGGAGTCAGTGTCGAATTGTTGGCACCTGTATTACTGCCTGATACAGACAATAATGTCTGTATATCTCAAGGCTGTTGTAATAAATAGTGAGGATCGAGATATCAGAATCCTAATACAGAAAGTTCAGAAGTGTATTTACAAAGAAAACATGCCTATTATCATGCCTGGATTTTTAACAATTGATTACATAACCATTTTACATACATCTTCCTTTTAACATCCTCCTCTTGAAAATCAAAAATCAAACCCATATGCTTTACATCTTTAAGGATGAAGGTTGTTATCTGACTAGTGTATACATGTAGGTATATTTCTCCTTTACTTTATAATAACTGCTGGTTTAGTATTTAGATTAGGCTATGGTCTGTCATGTTGTTAGACTAAAGTTATACCTGTGGGATCTGTAGACTCTCTGTTTATGTCTGGCAAGTCTGGACATTGTTATCTCTCCGGTGTTGTATATATGTGTTTTTACTGTGAAACATTTCCCATGGGCCGTAATCTTCAGCTGTGTTTTATATGATACGCTTTACCGCATGTTCATTTGTCAACCTGGATATTATTAATCAAATAATGAGTTCAGATGGTTTCCAGAATAAAACAGAACCTGTCTTGTCTTTTCTTTGAGAAAACTCAATATTGACTATTTTAATGGAATTTGTTATCTTTATAATGCTTTCTGCTGCAGATTTGGTAAGGTTGATGATGGAGGCCTGGTCTCACTCGACAACAGACAGGAACAGTCAGCTGCAGAGGCTGGTGATAAGTCTACAGTAGAGTTACAGTCTAGTCAAACAAAACAGGTGTCGCCTATCACAGTCAACACAGAATCAACCAAGGAAACACAGTCTCATCTCATCCCAGAGAAAAGTGCAGTGGACGCTTTTACCAAACAATCCGCAGTTAAATCCAGTGATTTGGATACAAAAGGATTAAGTATAGGTAAAGTGAAAGTAGATGAAAGTGAAAGTAGGTCAGGTGTAAAATCATCATTATTGGATAGTGGTGTAAAAAAAGGAATTACGCAAGAAGATACAAAGATGGATACTGAAGTGACAGGTGGTGGATTACGAGTCACGACCACAGACAGTGACAGCAGTTCAAAAGTTCAAAGGTCAAGTTCGGATAGAAGAAGGCGGAAAGATAAATCTGCTGCAAGAAAATCTGCTTTGAATGCTTCAAATGTATCAATAACAGGTATGTAAGATTTATTCATCCTTGTAAACTTTCTATCAAACAAGATCATAAGAGAAGGAATTTCTCTTGAAGTTGATGGCGTCATGACTGACATGATAAAAATTCAAAATATCCGGTCCTGCCTGAAAAAATGGCGTAAATGGTGATTTGAATTTTATTTTCAGATAAAGGAAATTCTGTTTTTAAATTCTAAAAAATACTAAAAAACTTATTTAGATATCAAAGCTGTCACTATAACATAAGGATCATTGAAGGTCACTGTTGATGTCATTTCTTAAGCCTCATTGTGTAGAGTACCTTAAGAAGTCCCAGGTGATATTTATTGGTGGATCTTTGGCGACATTCCAGCTGGAAACTGTTACTGGGAGATTAGGAAAATTTTGACACATATTTGTTGATCTCGAGGCTATCCTGAGTTAATTATGGTACTATAGAATTGTGGGCGTAGGCTTCAATTTAAATCTTCACTATTGGAAGTTTTATGTTTGAATACCATGCAAATGTCCTATCATAAAGTCATTATCATATCCTGGAGGAAGAAATTTACAGCAGGGAATACATTATACTATTGATGGGGTTGTAAGTACATGCAGGTTTAGTTATCAACATGATGAGATAGAACATGTGATAGAAAATCTGTAGGAACATTTAGAACCAATGTACTTACCTCTGTAACATTACAGTGGGTGTACTTTCCTCTGTTACATTACAGTGGGTGTACTTATGGTACCTCTGTTACATTACAGTGGGTGTACTTTCCTCTGTTACATTACAGTGGGTAACTGTCATATTGTTTGTTATTCCATTTTTTCGTAATACAGAGTTATCTGCTCTTATTGGCAGGTATTGATCATTGTGTCATAAGTTTACATGAGAAAATGACATTGTTTTCTCACAAATTTTTCATGATGTTTCTCTCGCAAACAAATGAGGCAACAATTAATTCCTGCTTGCAAGAGCAGATAATTCTGCATTACAAAAAGACAAATATCAAAAGATAAGGTAATGAAATCCAGAAAAATTTGAAACCTTGAATATAACATTATTACAGGGAAATCAAGGACTATTTCATGACTTATATGGTGGGGGGGGGGGGGGGATAATATTTATATTTTCCTTTGAAATTTGTTTAAATTGCAATACTTTGAACTAACAAAAAAACCTGTTTAAGATATAAATGACGAAGGTAATGGGCATTTATACAGGACTTTTTCTTGGGGCTCTGTAGGGCAGAATGTGGATCCCTGTCCCAAATGGATTTATTTCCTTAATATGGCCAAATTTTCAAAGTATGTAGTCTAATATATTCTACTTAAAATTTCCTTCCCTGATCAACTAATATGAGGTAAAAAGATAGAAAAAAAAGTGTTTAACTGTATGTACGTGTACTGTTGTTTTCTAAAATTTAAACCCATTCTACCATGTTGGCAAAATATTTATCTGTGGTTTTATGGAAAAATGAGCTTGGTTCCATCGATTTAGCATTACTTATGTGTACTGATTTATTGAAATTTATCAAAAGTTTGTTGAAAATGTATAAATGTTTTATATCATAGAACTATTGTCATACATATATAAAACTTTACAGGAAATGTAAATGGAAAAAGTTAATGCAGATTTTTTTAAAAAAAAATCCTTGTCCTTTCAAATTAAAAAGAACTGTTCCAGTCGACATGTGTCATACATGTTTAAATGTGTATTAATTTGTAGACAATCTTCCTGTAATGAAAATCCACATGTAAAGTTCAGTATCTGTGAAGTTTAATGTGACAGCGACATTTGAATATATCAGCTGTGTGGCTCGGTCATTATATGGCTTTATAATGGACATTATATGTTGAGAGTAATGTCCATTGATCTGGACTCTAGACATTGTATGTGTGTAGGTTAAAAGGTGGTAATTATATAGATATATAAGTTCTCAGGCTTTTCTCATGATGTTAAAAGTTGTAAAAGCATAAACATGCACCTTATATGTTTACATATTAAAGGTAAGATATCAAGGGTGTTCCTACAAACAAAATCTGTGGTCAGTTTATGATGTTATAGGGTCAATATCTGGTCACAATAAGGTCTTGTATTAGACGGTGTTTTCATCATATTTTCCTGAAAAGTTTGTTTAGATAATCGTGAACAATATGTTAAATAAATTGCAATATATTAATCAGTTGAACTTAAAATTATGATTTAGAAATATAAAAATTATAATTATGATTATAACTTAAAATTATGCTGCAGATATTTCCTTAAGTAGAAAAAATCTCAAACTTTATTTCAAATTTCTTAGATTTAATTGGAAATCATTTTTATCAAAATTTGATTCAAATATTGTGGCATTAAGTCCATACCTGATAATAAGTCCATCCATTTAAATTTCTCCCCTTGGTTGTAGGCCTACATGTTATTTCATTACTCAGTAATAAGCCCGCGCCCTGACTTTGTGTTAAAGGCAATGAGCTATCAATCATAGCCCCTGGCCTTTATATTGCAGGACAAATACACTACAGTAGATATTGTTGAAATTATCTGTACATGTTAATATAAGGTCTGATATATGATTTTTTGCAATTAATCCTATTGTTTCGATGAAACCATTTAATTAAAGTTGATTGATGGATAGATTTAATTATTGCTTTATCACCCTATTCTATAATACGTGTTGAAAATTATGTCAGTATTTATAAACGTTGACCTTTTTAAACATTAAAAATGCATAAAAATTCACACGTAAACCTCCATGAATTTAAGAACACAAAAATCGTTGTCATCAATCATTACCATGAAATCTCGAACAAAGCGTTTTAAACTTCAAATACCTATCTCACTAATCGTATTAAAAAGTTGATGTCATTTTTCATTTTCAAACATTTTTAAATTATGTAAGTTTGATATTGTACTGCACATTTAACAGTGATTTATGTCATGTTATGGTGAATATAGGATTGACCGTTGTCACCTCTTGTTTGACGAATGGTTTACCGCGAACAATTGTAAACACATGATGTCACAGGATGTCTAGTTACACCCATCAAAAGTTTAAATCAATTTTTTTGTATAACATGGGAAGGTCTCTATTTCATCATAACATTACACATAAAGTATACAGTCAGAAATGTGGAAGCAGGTTTTTAAATAGTTTTAACTGACAAATGTAAATTTACACATCTTCATTAACATGTTGTAGTTGGTAAGATATCACACCAGGGGCCAGCACACAGCAATTTATTTATCAAACGCTTTCCCCACTTCATATCTGTTTTCAGATTTGGTGAAAATATCTCCAACCGTTGTCATTGTCCTGTAATAAGCCCATCTCTGTAAACTGCTGTCATTGTCCTGTAAGAAGCCAAATTCTGTCAACATCTGTCAAGCACGTCTCTATAAACTGCTGTCAATGTCTTTTAATAAACCCACTTCTGTAAACTGTCATTGTCCTGCAATAAGCCCACTTTTGTAAACTTCTGCCATTGTCCTGCAATAAGCCAACTTTTGTAAACTTCTGCCATTGTCCTGTAATAAGCCCACTTCTGTTAGTTGTTGTCATGGTCCTGTAATAAGCCCATCTCTATAAACTGCTGTCAATGTCTTGTAGTAAGCCCACTTTTATAAACTACTGTCATTGTCCTGTAAAAAGCCCACTTCTGTTAGTTGTTGTCATGGCCTACTTTTATAAACTGCTGCCATCGTCCCCTGAAAGATAGTGTTTACCTAGACTCTCAAAAACCTTCATTATGACTCCTTAAATTGACACCAGACCCCCAAAATTAATAAGATTTTGCTCTATTTCATTTATGATGGGAGTCCGTTGACAAATAAAAAGAAAATGTCTTCATTTATTTTGACAACAGCAGAAATTCAAATAGATTATGTTGAGTAGATTACTTAATCTTATAGACAGATGACAGAGTATGAGGGGTATGTCTAACTAGAGGAGGAAACCGGAAAGTTTGTGAGATATTTAATTTGAATTGTAGTGTGATATTTGTCTTTTGAGATGATTATGATTTGATTTATTGACAATATAACTGTGACATACAGAAATTAAGCTTTGAGAATGAGCTGATATATTTGAGTTTCAGACTGATAAAGAAATGGTGATATACGGAATGACCAAGCAATATTTTCCCTGATTCATGTTTATGAGACACTGATTGACAGATATATCTGATAACCTCTTTGACGTTCATCTATTTTGGTCTACATGCACTCACATCAGACTTTATTTGAAATTTTAAGATTTTCATTATTTGAAATCAATATCAAAATAGATTTTTGTATGCCTGTGCGTGTTTTCTATATTTTTATATGACTTTGTACAAAAGTGTCTATGAGCTTTTAATTTGAAATTTAAAAATGCTGGAGCCAGGCTTTCTAATTTGCTGTGTGCATGATTGCATAATGCATTAGACAAATTACATTTGACACTTCCTATCTTGTGTGAAGACATGGACATGCCAGCATACCACTCGGTGTAGAAATCTTGTGTTGCAAATCCTCCTACACCTCGTCTGTGTGAGTCATACATTTCCATATTGATAATTTAACTGCATCTGGTGTCGTGTGCTCACTAAGGGATATGTGTATTGTACATGTCATCTTGATAAGAAAACGGTTTTCACTTTTCACAAATTTTAATTTTGTCTAATCTCCGTGTATTATATATATATATATATATAACCCCACATGCTGACATGCAAGGTTGAAAATGTGGTGGAATTTTGTTGGAATCATGGACTAAATGAATTGATCTGACACTAAACAGACATTTATTAATAATGTATGCCTGGATATGGTTCCCTTGTTAGACAGATGTTGAAGCAAAAATTCCACAATTCTATATAAACAAGTTATATTGATTTGATTCATTGTGAGATTTTATGATTTTGTATCCAAAATTAAAATATTTCACTTTGGGTCATAAATTGATATTTGAGATTAGAGTATAATTTGTTGTTGTATACATACCAGTATATACATAATTTTGTTTACTTGCAGAAATA